CAACACTAAGAGGCGACAGGCTGTTTCATGCTGGATGCAATTGTCAGGCAGCCTGATGATTGCGTCCAGCATGAAACTGCCTGTTGCCTCTGAGTGTTGACTTCAATGTTCACTTTTATATCTGTATTTACATACACTCTATAAAAATATTTATGGGAACCCAATTGATAATCAGCATAGCTAAAATGACTTTACAGTTCAGATGTACTTTAACACATGTACAGTACTGAGATTAATGCAATTTTTATTAATATATATCTTGAGTGAATACTGCAAATTATTAGCTTATCCTTCTTCTCTTTAAAGCTTCCATTTTGTGTAATATATTAAATGAGCTGCGAGTTTAAAGAATGATTCTTTAACTGGGCATGATAGCTCGGAGCATAATTGGGATCAACATTCTTATTTATAACTTATATCTGATCAGTCTTGAGAGCTGTGAATAATGACTTTTACCAATCTAACTGACACATAAAAGCAATTCAGATTGCATAAATGTTGTCCACTTTTACAAATGCTACAAGGGAGAAAACCCTATTTGATTCTCTTCCCTTTCTCCATAACCAAAATCTAATAGCAGCTGTTCAGTCTCACTGTTGATTAAAGTTCATGAATAAACCAGAATGATTCTTGACCATCCATGGTTGTTTGATGCCATGGTCACTTTCTGATCATGCCTCTTTTTCTACACCAAGCTAGTGATCACACAAGAAGATGTATCTAAAATGTAACCTGTTAAAATGGTGTAGTGTGGCAAATATAAAGTTAGTGCTCAATAAAATATAATGTTGTGCCAGTTTGAACTCAGTATGGTGCAACTAGTATTAACAAATATAGACACATGAAATGATTCACTTTATAGGAAATGAATAAAACACCTTTGAAATGTTAAATGATTAATTTATTTGGTTGAAATAGGAACCATGTTGATGACTGACTGTTTTTCAACATACCTCTAAATTCTTGATCCAATCTTTAAAAAATTTTCATCCTTTCAAATGCTTCAATTACTTCTTCCTTATTGGAGAATGTGTTATCGTGTATGAAAAGCTCAAAATGCTTAAATAAATGATAATCAGTAGTAGAGATATCACGTAAATATGGAGGATGAGACAAAATTTCATAATTCAGGCTATGCAGCTTTTGGGCAATTGATTGAGAAGCGTACGACCATATGTTATCATGCAGCAAAATTGAACCATCCAATTCACAAGTCTAGGGTGTTTCTTTTTCAATTTTTCTTGCATACGCTCAATTTCTCCAAAATACGAGGTTGATGTTATTGTTTTCCCTTGAGAGAAGAATGAATAATGAATAACCCTTTAACACACCACAATACAGTAACCATTGCCTTTTTAGGGTACCATGGAGATTTTGGGTATTGTTTTGGTGATTCACTTGCATTTAACCACTGGCCTACTATCTTACTGTTGTCAAAGGGTATCCATTTCTCATCGCAGGTAATGATTTGATTTAAAAATGGTTCTTTTTCCTAGTTATTTCTCATACAGTAAGATTATTCAACATTGTTTCATTGTGATCATTTTCATCAGGCTTATGAGTAACAATATATTGAAAGAAAAATTACCTGAAAAGAAAAAGAGTCAAAATTAAGTCAAGATTTTTTTTTTTATATACTAAGGAGGCCACTTCGTTGGATGACTGAATCAACAACCAACCAAAATATGTGCCATTTCATGTTTGACAATCTAATATTTATTCTATATATATGCAAATGTGCATGCAGATAGCATATATATATATATATATATATATATATATATATATATATATATATATATATAGGAAGAAAAAATATATGGAAAAAACAAACAAAAAATCCTTATATACAATTATGCTGTTTTAATGTTAATATGTCAACGTCGGACGTTTCGGTCTAATAAACCATCTTCAGGACATAATTATTAGACCGAAACGTCCGACGTTGACATATTAACATTAAAACAGCATAATTGCATATAAGGATTTTTGTTTGTTTTTTGCGTATATATTTTTCTTCATATTGTCGTTCTTTTTCCTAGTTATTTCTCATACAGTAAGATTACTCAACATTGTTTCATTGTGATCATTTTCATCAGGCTTATGTGTAACAATATAGTGAAAGAAAAATTACCTGAAAAGAAAGAGTCAAAATTAAGTCAAGATTTTTTTTTATATACTAAGGATGCCACTTCGTTGGATGACTGAATCAACAATCAACCAAAAGATGTGCCATTTCATGTTTGACAATCTATTATTTATTCCTTTATATATGCCAATGTGCATGCAGCGTATATATATATATATATATATATATATATATATATATATATATATATATATATATATATATATATATATATATATATATTCTGTTTTCACAGTGGAAATGACAATAGCATTAATCAAGAATAGATAGTGATGAGGCAAAAAGTTTTAACTTTGGGGGCCAAGGCTGCTTGTAGTTTGTCAGAACCAAGTTTGAAATGAATAAATTGAGACCCTTCTGATGACAGCAGAGAAAGGATTATTTTTTTTTTTCCCCATCAGTATAAATTCCTTTTACCTTATTTTCTGAATGATCTTAATAAACATAATAGCGTTAATGGGGAAAATAATAAGCCCATGATAATAAGGGGCCAACAATCATTGCAATGGTAGACATAATATCAGCTTTAGTAAGAAGAAAAAGAATGATCACACAATTATAACTCATTCCTAAAATAAAACCAAACAATGGTAAGGAAAGTAAAAATAATTATATATATATATATATATATATATATATATATATATATATGTTTATTAGCAGTAATAATCTTGTATAAGAAATTGTACTCATCTGGAAAACCTTCAGTGTCTTGAGTTATGAATAATCAAACCAGTACCAACAGGAAAAAAAAGTATAAAAAAGAAAGAACCAAGAACATGTACGTTAGTCGAAAATAATCATCTAGCATGCAAGTCCAAAGTCCAAAGAAAAAAACCCTGATACCAGTAGGCAAAATAATTAATAAAGTGCTCAATACGGTAAGCCAGCCTTCCCTTAAGATCCGCTTAGGTAAAACCTTGGTAGGTTTGTCTGGCTCTCTAGGTTTAACTATATATATATATATATATATCTATAAAAGGCAGGATGTGTGTATGTGTAACAAATGCACGGCCAAAATTTTCGACAGATTTGCACCAAAATTTACATGCACATGCTCCAAGTTAGCGGGAAGGCCAAGACTGACTTTGCATTTCCCAACTCCCATCCATAGTGGAAATAATCGATTTTTTCATGCTTCTACAGCAGTTTTCATGTAGTTTGCGGCCATTTTCTACTGGCCAGAGTGAGAGCCTATTGCTGGCTGCCAACAAATAGGCAGGAAGATTCTATTGGCCAGTGTGAGAGCCAACAGCTGACTGACAT